ACTGTTGCCTGAATTACTAGTAATGAACCGGTTATTCGATTTATAATATAAACATAGGCTGTTCTTTTTCTATGATTTGAATTTTGATAAGATGAGGAGTAGTGATAAGATTTGGTTGTCTATTTGTTTCAGCTATTGTATTTTGACCGTGTTGTGCCTTTCTTGACAATGCAAAGGCCTCAAGGCCCTCGACTAATATAAAACCTCCATATGCAACGTCAACCAATCTAACTTTAAATTACAAAATGTGGAATTTCTTTTTTTTTTTTGTAAATATAAATGCTTCGCGTCTACTTATATTTTTCCTTTGTATTGGACTAATTTAGTGGACTGCTACCTGAAATATTTATTTTCTCATGCTAACAAAGGGAGACGAACAGAAGGGTTTAGAGGATAAATGTGCTGAACAGATGGCGGAAATTAAATCTCTCAAGTCTCTAGTAAGTTTTCTTTATGCCCCTAAAACCATATACCCCCATTTTCTTTTCTTTTTAATTCCTTAGTAGACATTGGTAACTACCATCTGTTTTGCTCTATTTACATGCTCATTATGGCTAATGACTTTTCTTATGGAATCCATGCTGATAACTCGATCAGGATAATAGCCTCTTTCCAACCTTCTCTTAGGCACTAACTCATCAGCATGCTTATTTAGTTTTTATTCAGCCATCTTTTAGGAGTTCATGGATACTGAAACTCCATCTAATTTAGCTGTAAGAGTCTCAATGGTCTATTGTAACATTGCAGATTGAGAAACTGCTGAAAGAAAAATTAGAGCTGCAAAATCTAGCAAGCATCTGTACTCGTGAGTGTAATGATGAAAGGTATGTTGTGACCATTTGAGTGTAATTTGTTATCCAGTGATCTCTTCCTTCTTTGCTGAGAATATCAGATTCGAGCTTTCCAATTACAGAGGATTGGCAGAAATCAAGGAATCACAACGGAAAGCTCATGCTCAGGCTGAAGAGCTGAAAAACGTATTAGATGAACACTTTCTTGAATTGAGAGTGAAAGCGGCTAACGAGACTGAAACTGCTTGCCAAGAACGGCTTGCTACCGCAAAGGCTGAAATTGCTGAATTGAGGACTCAGTTAGATCTTTCCGAGAGGTATGCTCTCTCAAGTTTCCTCATCCAGGTCATGCGATTTATCCTTGTTACCGTTTAGAGGCTATTAATCAGTATTATAATCGTCCCTCATGTGCAGGGAGGTTTTGGAACTTAAGGAAGGTATTAAGGTTAAAGAGCAGGAGGCAGAGGCATTGATTGCTGAAATGGAGGTACTTTGCAGTCATCCTTCTGCTCGTTCTTTACCATTTTGATGTTTTTAAGGAGGGTATATATTCTACAAGTCCAAAATGCTCATACGTTTCATCGGTACTTTATTTTGCGAGACTGTTGGTCAAGCCTATGAAGACATGCAAACACAGAACCAACATTTGTTGCAGCAGGTGGCTGAGCGGGATGATTATAATATCAAGGTAGTGTTTTTTTTTTTTTTGCTCTGTTCTCAGTTTCAATTCCACCTTTGTTGGTTTATAATATCTACAGGCTTTGAAACATCAGTTTTAGATTATTTATTTGATCTACGATGCAGCTTGTTTCCGAGAGTGTCAAGACAAAGAATGCTTACAACACTCACTTATCTGAGAAGCAAGTAATGGAAAAGCAGCTCCAACAAGTTAATGCATCAGTAGAGACTCTAAAAGCTAGGATTGCACATAGTGAGGAACAGGTTAGAAGCTTTCTCTTATCTAGTTGAATTAACTCTCTAAAACTGCTCTCATCAGTGTCTTTTACTAATGGTCTTATGCTCGCAGATGAAAGGCTGTTTCGCTGAAGCTTATAAATTGATTCAAGAAGATCGTCACCTCGCTCTCAGTCTCGAAACCGCCAAGTGGGAATTAGCTGATGCTGAAAAAGAATTCAGGTGGATCAAATCGGCTGTTTCTTCATCCGAGAAGGAATATGAACAGATCACCAGGAGGACAAACGACATCAAACTGGAATTGGATGATGAAAGGTGGACCTGGGAACTGATATCTTGTTTGAACTCAATAACTATATATTGGTAGATTAATATAATTTCTATCTGCTGAACAGGAGTGAGAAGAAGAAGCTTGAGGAAGAGCTGATGGAGTTGAACAAGGAGCTTGAAGAGTTGGGTTCTGAGAGTGTAGAAGCTGCAATACTGAGACTCCAGGAAGAGGTTAAGAGTTGCAAGAACATCCTTAAGTGTGGCGTTTGTTTTGATCGGCCTAAAGAGGTAATAACTCTCATAATAGTCCTATACCTCACCATCAAGGCAGACAATAATAATTTGATAATCCTCTCTCATCACTTTCACAATCGTCATCAATAAATCATGCATCATCAAGAATCATTTTCTGCAAAATATCAACAATCGTTTTTCTTTCAAACAATATTTGCAGGTGGTAATTGTGAAATGTTATCATCTTTTCTGCAAGCAATGCATCCAAAGAAGCTTAGAGATCAGACACCGGAAATGTCCAGGCTGTGGCACTGCCTTTGGCCAGAGCGACGTCCGGGTTGTCAAAATGTAAAACACACACACACGCAGACACATGGTGTTAGTACATATGTCACTTAAGGTCCACAATCTCATCTTCCTTCCCACTCTTCAATAACATTGTAAGATCGTATGGGAAATGGTGGCCCGTTCTCTGCATTGTTAGTTAGATATAACCACCAAATCTCTGTTTTCCAGCTAATTCGGTGATGAGAAATTAGGTGGCATCTTTATGGAGAAAGTGTAGTTTTTTTTCAAGTACTTGACATTAGTGTTTTGTGTTCCCTCCATTTATGCCTTCGTATTATTGCATGGGGACCGACAAAGACATCGCAATAGGACAAGAAGAGAGGAGAGAGATAGAAGAGATTGTAATTTGCAGTGAAATTGATGTTTAGTTGTGAAATTGCTTGAAACCCAACTTAGGTTGTGAGTGTGTGTGGTATATATATATGTATTTTTTCCAAAAATATAAAGAATTATGTGAAAAGTTGTTCAATAATTGGTGAATTTTAATGAAAGATTTTCTACAAAATGAATATAATGGATTTAGTAAAATGATGCTTGTGAGCTATCAGTTGTTAGGTAGGAGTGTCTTATAGAAGAATAGGTAGATACCTAAATGAACTGATGACATTTGAGGCTTGAATTGCACGTGAAGATGATCTAACCTCTTATCTATAATAGTCATTGACTTTATTGTAGTGTCCTTTTTGGTTATGAAATGTTGATATAACTTCATTACGGTTTTAAATTGGTACTACTACCTAATTGCCTACACATATCCTCCATTATAGATGTGCTAAACACTTTCTACTTCAAAAACAAAAACAAAAAAAAAAACAAAATTAAGACAATCTTGGAAAATATCATACAAATTAGAGAGTAACTTCTTTAGTAGTTTTATACGTAAAAAACTGGTTGAGTGCATATGGTTGACAAAAAAATCACAAATATATACGAAGAAAGAGTGTTATCATTTTATATTTTTAATCCCCCTCTAGTCCCCCACACACACTTATATATCTATTTGCTCCACAGAAAAAACAAGTATGGTTTTTGCATATACAATAGTCATATACTACGTAAATACATTTTCCCTAAATTATTATGTGGATATGAGGAAAGTTTCATATTCGGTGGAAAAAAAAACTTAAGCTGTTTTTGGTTTTTTTCCAAAACTGAGCAACAATTTAAGATCCATAAAAAATGAAATTTTAGTTTGCAGGTTATGTTATTCCTCGTTTATGTTGTTTCCTTTTATGTTTCTCGTGTATTGGATCAAGTTTCCGGAAAAAATTTTATTTTTTACCTCCGGAAATGTATATGTATTCCACGCTAATATTTCTCGTTGTAGTTTATAAAGAAAAAAAAGGAAAAAAGACGTTCTATTCGACAAAGAAGAAAAATTTAAGATCTATCACGTATATTATCCAATGGCTGATCCAACATTAAAATAATCTGCAATTTGCATACATACTAATAAAAAAATAGAGCCACAAAAAGACAATAATTCGAGTGGCTTAAAAATCACAATCACATGCATGCAAATTGCAAATTGCGAAGTTCCTCGGGCTCGACCACCATTAATGGCTCTCGTAAATTTTAGGCTTAGCATTTCGCCATCTACATTTAAGAGTTATGATTAGATTTATAATGTATAAGCTAGTATGATTCAAATAGAATAATCTGATTGAAATTATTGAATGACGACAATTTAAAAAACGATGTGACAACACCTGCAATCTTTATCCAATTGTCGAGGATCCAAAATCACTGTTCAATGAATGTATACAAGTGAGACACTTTCGTATAGCAATTTCCTTACCAAACTTCCTCTAATTATTAGATTTGATATTCCGAAAAAGTACCAAGTTATTATGTTAAAGCGTGTAACATCTAAGGGTTGTATGAAGAAGGAATTTTGATGTAGTTGTTGGTCCAATTTTTTTTTTAAAATGGTATCATATATCCTCAAATAAACGGTTGCCATACATGAAGAGATTCTATGCCATAATATAATTAATATATTCATATGTATATTGACCCACATGTACTATAGATTGACAAAAATTCACATTATTTCATAAGTAAAAGCTATAAACGGTAAAAAATCTCCCCCCACCCCCCCACAAAAGAAGAACAAAACAAAACAAAAGTCACAGTATGGACACCAATTTTAGTTGTAACTATAAAACCAAATCCCTCTAAAACCGCTAAATTAATCAGTTATGTTCAGTTGATGTGCTTACGTTTTCTCTTTAATCTTCTCCCAAATGATCAATTGCCTGATTCTTTTTAAAAATTGTAAGCCACAATTTATTAACACTCCAACAATATGTATACATATATATATATATATATATATATATATATTATACACGCATCTAAAAAGTATTTATCGTGACGCAACTATAAATGTTAAAACGTAATAAATTCTCATCATCGAATCAATACATGGACACTATATATTTATGACTATCTATACCTTCTATCTAGCTAAAGAGTGATAAACATTGCAATATCAACATATACATATATATAAAAGAGAGAAATCATAAAAGATCACAACATCAAACCATGAAGCAGTACTCAACGAGAACCCTAATCATAACCACCGTGATGATAACCTCCATGTTGGTAGGCTTTGGAGGCTCAGATCTGGCTCAAGACAGAGACGAGTGTACGAACCAGCTGATAGCACTCTCACCGTGTCTACCGTACGTGGGAGGAGACGCAAAGGCTCCAACAAAAGATTGTTGTGGAGGTTTTGGCCAAGTTATAGTAAAGAGTGTGAAGTGTGTTTGCATATTGATCAAAGACAAAGATGATCCTAATCTTGGTCTCAAGTTTAACGCAACCCTAGCCGCTTATCTCCCCACCGCTTGTCATATAACGGCTCCTAACATCACCAAGTGTATTTGTTAGTGTCTTTCTCTCTCTCTCTCTTGAAGTTTGTTTGATAAATTTAAAGTTCTTATGGAACTTGTTTTGGTAATTTAGTGCGTAGTCTTCTCTCTTTCTTTTAAGTTATTTTTATCTAGTTTCGGAGATCACATATCCACATATACTAGGTAATTCATATAGTACAATGTACAATTTTATAGCAATTATAACAATTATGAAAAATTATTCATTTAGTCGTCATACCATATGGGATGAAAGTGTTTACACTTGAATTTCATGAAGTTTTAGCTATTATCTACTATTTATATTCTTCGGCTTTAATTTTAAGTTTTTGGGGTTTTAATCTGCTTATGGAGATCACACACTTGGTAATCCATAGTAATATGTACGGTTTTATAAGAATGATTATAAAATAGTATTCATTTTAGCACTCTTATACTTATACCATATATGGATATGATAGAAGTTGATATATATATACTTAATGATATTTTATTATTTTTACTGAATTACGTTTTTTGTAATTTAAAGTTAGTTTACTTAATCTTCAGTTTTGTTAATTTTTTGCATCTGATTTTATGGGAAAGCGCTTCTGCATTTATCCCCAAACTCAACATTGGCAAGAGAGTTTGAGAGCTTAGGACGGATTGAAGGAAACGCCAACTCGACATCTCCTTCACAACATGTTAAAGGTAAATTTTACCAAAAAAAAAAAAAAATGTTAAAGGTAAATTAATTTAATTTGCTCAATTAATTAGTCTAATGTCTTTTTACAAACTTTCTCAAAAATAGTATCGAATCACACCATTTATCTACTTCCATGATCACATATTAATAATAATGTCAATCAATGAATACTGATTATTATTAGATATACTGATTCTATGATATTTTATCGATTTTTTTGGTATATATAAAGATGGGACAGGAGGAGGAAAAGCTGAATCAGTGAAGAGTACTGGAGAGAAGAAGAAGAAGAGTTGGTTGGCTGTTGAGCTTTTAATATTTGCTCTTTTCTCTCCTCTATTTAATGTTCATTTGCTTTAAATAAATCTTATAAAATGTTCTCAATTACATCTACATTTTATATATGTACACACGCATGTGTATGGATATGATCTATGCATGTAAATGAGTGAAAAAAATATAATATTTAATGGGTTTAAAAAAATAATAACGAAGCTTAGCTCTATTATTTTGTCAGATGTGTTTTAAAATACATTGTACAATCAGATGTAACAAGTATAGCCAGTTAATAAGATCAATTAATGTATTGTCTTTCTTATCAATAATTTCGTTTATAAGAAATTGAAACCAAAGTTTTATTGATAAATTAAATATAAAGTACCAGCGTGCATGGTAAAACCAAATAACCAGTAATAAAAAATAAAAAATAAACATAATGTAATGTAAGGTATAGAATAGAATAGACTTGTTAGTAAGCTAAAAAAACTTTTTCATAAATGAATGTCTCTCAAGAATAATTTAGGAGAATCTCTTATCTTACCTAATCATATCTCTTATCCGTCATAGATTTTTTTTTTTTTTCTAAACCGCGATGGATCGGGCACTAAGACTGCTGTTGAATATTACTAGCTCCATGTCCCATCTGGTTATAATATATCCAACGGATTTCATCGGCAGCACGCGATACTTTTTTTAGGTCGGAAAAAATATTGTTAAGAGAAAAAAAATCTAAAAACATAAATATTTTTTTTTTCACATGCATCATATTCCTGACCGCTAAATATAAAAATCCAAAAATTATTCGAAACAAAACTTCAAATAGAAATACAAAACCGAAAATATAGTGCATTATATTAATCTCAAACTTCACGACGATCGAGGAGCTATCCCTCTTCAAAAGGAAATGTATCTACTCCATTACTAAAAAAATGAAAAAGATATTTTCTTCCTCTACTTATATCACAGAGAGCAGCAGCATAAAATTGGTACTTCTTAGTCTTCACTACTTATGTTAAAACTTACAACATTACAAGAAAACAAAAAAGTGAAATTTTTTTACCATTTTTGTAGGCTTCATAATCTCATAACTAATTGCAACTGCATGTTGATGCTTAAACATTTTCTTTGGAAAAAGATGATAACGTCTGTATTTGTCAAAACTCGAGCATATGTTAATCTACCATCGTCATAAGAGTGCAACGCGAATATATATATATATATATATATATATATATATATACTCGAACTTTCCATATATAGTGTTGAGAGTTACTTTTTAGATACCTCAAAGCTCAAGGAGTCAAGCCGTCAAGGTATCCAATAATACCAGCTGTCACCACAATGATTGCCTAATGGGCTAATGACAAGTCTTCTAGATACGATTTCTAAAACAGATCCTTTCACTAGCAATAACATTTTTTGTACGAAATGTCAAGATATAGAAAGGCTATAACAATACGTCAATACCATAAACAAACCTTATAAGTAACAGAAAAGTTGCATGACACCAAATTTCCATAAAACTAATAATGGTTAAACTATGACAAAGTAAACCAGTCATATCGTTCCACGAATTTCTGAACATATGAAATTGACTAGGAGTTCTAGGACTTGTTCTTATATCTTTATCAGTATTTTACAAATGTCAATTTTGATCCTGGATCAAACAACGTAACCATTGTAGAAACGGTATTATATAAAAGTTTAATCTTAAATAATTTATTAATATGAATATTCACCTAAATATTTTAAAATTCTATTTATGGTTTTATCTTAGAAAAATATTTGTTATGAAGTTCCTTAATTATATATTTTTAGTTTGAGTTGTGTTAAATTTGGGTATAAACACAGTTTTGGCATCCTACCAAAAAAAAAAACACAGTATTGGCCTATTGGGTAACTTATGGGTCATTCTAATTGGACAAACAATTAGAGGTCTAACTGAAATTAAATAGAGAGAGAAACTCTGAATGTTGAACACGTGACAAGTTTACAAATTTCATTCCTAATTTACCCTCAATATATCTAATATATTACGTCTCACTACCTCTCCAGTCTCCAGTGTGAAGTGTCAGTCACCCACCCAATTAACCGATGACTTCGCTTGCTCTCCTCTTCGGTCTCTTCGTCTCTCTCTCCTCCTCCCCATCTTTATCCCTAAATCTCCGCCGTCCAATCTCGTCTCAATCCAACGGCCTCGATGTCCTCTCCTTCTCATACACCACTCTGTCTTCTCTAGATCTCGACCGTCCATCTCTCGCTGCCGATGACATCCACGATCTTCTCCCACTCTACGGATTTCCGAAAGATCTTCTTCCGAATAACGTCAAATCGTACACTCTCTCCGACGGCGGAGGTTTCACCGTCGACCTGATTTCTCCCTGCTACGTCAATTTCGTCGATCAAATCGTTTTCTACGATAAGAGAATCGCCGGGAAACTCAGTTACGGATCCGTCAAAGACGTCGAAGGAATCTCAGCTAAAGAATTTTTCATTTGGGCACCAATCACCGCCATGAAATCGGATCCAAGCTCCGGCACGATTGTCTTCTCCGTCGGGTTCGTGTCCAAGACTTTACCGGCTTCGATGTTCGAGAATGTCCCGTCTTGCTCCAGAAAGACAAGTCTTCAAGCTTCTTGAGTATCCAACACTCTGAGGAAGGACGATTCCTTCCTCCTTAATCATGTCGATTTTGCGTTATCAGGGAAAAATCTTTAAGAATTTGATTTGCTCCGTCTATTTGTATTTTCAAATCGAATTGAAACATATAATATCAGATTTTTTCGAACCGGATTGAAATGAAAACTGTCTACATTTATTTTTTTTAAAATATTGGATCGAAAGATATATAATATCTGGATTTTTCGAATTAGCTCAAAGGGGGAAACTTGAAGAACTTTGAAGCGAAAGACTTGAGATTTACAAATCACAGAAAACAAAATGTCAACAAAAAGCTATAACAACGATTGCCAAAACCATTAAATTACCTTCTATAAATTACTACCAGAGATCAACACTAGATGAAATGGCCATGTCTGGTCTTGCTCTCTCTCATATGACCGTTAAGACCAGTTTTGAGTTCTTCTTTGCCTCTGAAGATAACGGTCAGCGATGGTAGTGACGACGAATCCCTATCTGTAATAGTTCTTGAGCCAGTGAACCAGAGTTGACTTCTTTTTGGAACCTCAAGGCGGTTGGTTTCTTCTGAGCATTTGGCTTCATTGTTGAGTTTCAGATTTCATCTTGTTAGGCTTGAAGCACTTGACAATGCACAATATGGCTTTTCACAGCTCTCCCTGCGATACTCGACCATATATTGCTGAGAATGCTCTTGGACTGTCCCTTTACAGCAATGTGTTCCCATAGTCGAGTGTTGTTCTTATCAGGATTCGAGACATCAACAAGACTCATGCTCATGTTGTTCCGGATTATACAAAGCTTATTGTTCAGCGGAACAAGAGCCGCAGCTTCAAGCGACTTTGAGTTTCCCAAGTGAGCTTTACTGTCCATGAATTTGTTCCATGAATCTGTGCTTTCATCAAACACCCTGAGTTTGCATCCGTCCCTACAATCCAATCCGTAAAGCCGACCGTTTAGTGAAGTACATGGGTTTCTCCAACCAGTAACCATCCCGTCACTAACAGGGCTCCACGAATTAGTTTCCGGGTCATAAGCTTCACTCATGACTTGTTGGTGAGACCCAAGACCCTTGAGAAACCACTTTTTGTCATAAACCACACCGATAAGAGGCACCATTGCAGTGCTCATATCAGCGATGAAACTCCACCTGTTCTTGTTTGGATCATAAACCTCAGCTGAGCGAAGTGTCCTTTGAATCCCTTCGCACTCCCCACCCGCTACATACAAGCAGTTGTTTATGACACAACAGCCAAAGAAATGTCTTTTCCTAAGCATATCCGGTGCCCTGTGCCACTTATTCGTCCTGGCATTGTAGAAAACGACCCTTCTCATAGACCCTCTTAGTGGATCCTTACCTCCAAACAAATAAAGATGACAACCGCTTAAAACAGCGCAACCAAACCCAACAGCCTCTGAATACTCTCTAGGAACAGGTGGAAGTGGCTGCCCAAGATGAGAGACTGGATCAAAAGTATTCCAAGAGATCTTGCCGTCACGGTCTCTTTTGAAAACATAAACCCATTCTTCAGACATCCCAAGTAGCTTCCTTTGAGAGTAGAAAAAGTTTCCAGAAGCAAGCCTGTACCATCTCTTACACACTAGCCTGAGTTTTCTATGTTCTGCGCGAGGGACACGGATCAGGCAAGCGACGGCTAGATCGTCAGGGAGGCCAGGGAGGAGCGGTGGTTGGATTCTTGTCCTCTCCCTCTTGGAGTTCTTGCGCCTATGTGCATTTGGATTGATATCAGGTTGAATACAAAGCTTTGATCCAGGAACAAACTTCCTTGCCTCTACCACTGTCTTAAGACCTGAATCTACTCTGCAATAGCAAGATACAGAATCCACCTGCAAGATTTCCAATCTCAGAAATCAAACGACAAGTCCATAATCATCTGAGAAGAAAGAGCAAACATTCAATGATTAAAACAAGAGGCTTTAGGTAGATTTCAGAGAAAGGTAACATTAGGGCAGAAAGTTGTCAGAAACAGTTGTAAATACTACCCAATTTGGAGAATTAGCTAGGGTTTCTGAAAAAGGAAACAAAATTGAAGTAATTAAAAGCACCAACATATCAAAGTCTTCAAATTTCCCTCAAAACCCGTGAAAGGGATTATCTTCGAGTTATTATTATTATTTTTTCGAAAGCTACCATGGAATCGCGAAGCGAGGAAAGCAGAAACTTACCAATGGAGCTTGAAGGCGAAAACCCCTCGAACCATTTGGGGATTGCCGTTGAGAAGATAGATCCATCTTCAAATCCCCAAGTTCATAGGAGAAAGAAAGAACCACAGATCGTGGATTCCAATTCTTGTATGCCGATCAAGAAACTTTTAAGAGAAGAATCGGATCAATAAACCCAGAAATCTAATGGTCAAATCTCACTCTAGAAGGAGGAAGAAATGCGGCTAAGAAGAAGCAAAACGTGAGCTACCTTCCACTTCGCTCTCTCTGAACACGGTAAAATGGGACTGGTGGGTCTCTCTCTCTCTCCTTCTCTCTCTAGACGCCTTTTAACAAGTCTCGGGAAACAGAAGTAAAGCGTAGGTATTAATACGGGTAATACTATTAATCTGGTCATTACAGTCTACAGAATCTAAAGTCTATTGAATGAATGCATGGAAATATAGTTTTGTTGAATTTGAAATTAATAAAGCCAGTAAATAGTCAAAAAGTGTAAAATTTGTTTTTTTTAGTCAACGATGTGTAAGATTATCAGGGTAAGACATAAATGAAATCATAGATCTAAATTTGTAAACACATTTCCCACTAAGGATTTCAAAACGTAAAAAGGTATACATGTATCAATATATTTTCTTTTGGCCTTTGGGATAAAAATATTAAATATGTTTTCTAACTAGGAAGCCATCCACAAATATCAGTAGAAAATTTACTCTTTTATTAGAATATATAATAATTATTTTAATAGAGCAGCTCAAAGATTGTGAATGAAAATTTACCGGTAAAAAGAAATACTAATTTCATGCCAATGCGTTATTATTGTTTTTTTTATGAAAATTCGATTTTTTTATCCAAAAATTGGTATTTGAAATGCATACGTCGATCTTTCTGGCTATCACATACTTATTTCTCTTTATTTCTATTTTCAGTATTCTAGACTCTGGTAGAAAAAAACTTCTAAAAATCAAAATTTACTGGACAAATAATCATATTAATCGTCAAACTCTTTTTTTTTGGGTCAAGAAACATCAAACTCTTAGTTAAAATTTTAAAATGACAAGAAATTAAGAGTATCTCCAATGGTTTCTTTATTTTTTCTTTCATTTTTTGAAGAAACTTCATTTTTTAAGGAAAAAATGAAGAAATCATTGGAGCAAATTTTCTTCATTTTTTTCTTCAAAAAGAATATTCTAAGTATATTCTATCTATCTACGTATAAGAAAATCTCTCTAGGGAATGCTTCAAAAAACGCTCTCAGGCACTTTCCCCGAGGTAGTTTCCAGCGACCCGGTTTTGCTTTGACATCGACGTTTTTCTACCCTGTTTTTCCCGAATTAGAAAGATTTTTGAAAATTCACATCTCCTTCCTGGTTTTCCTTCACCGGGTTCACCCCCGACGGCGGTCGGAGGGTCCGTAAGTCTCCAGCCACAACTTACTGCTATGTCGTCATATGCCTCCAACGCTCACGAGAAAACTAGGCCAGCAGAAGGAAGTCCTCTTTAACCAAAGGCGCCCACAGAATCACAAATTCACCAGTAATCGGCGACTGTTATTTCGGCTCTCCTCTCCGACAGAGACACACGGCTTCGTTTTCAAGGACTCTCGCCCATTGGAACGATATACCTCCTTTTCAAGGACTCTCGCCAAAACTCCAGGATGGAACGACGCTTCACCTACGCTGAAAAAGGGAAAGCACTAGCATCAACACAAGACCATGTCACCACAAAACGCATCAGAGCTCCCGAAATCGACACGTCCAACCAGATCAAAGGAAATGCTTTAACCCTAATCGGAAGACTCAATAACCCTCAGGAACAGAGAATGTGGGCCATGATTCCGTCCATGGCTAGGAAATGGGGTATACGAGGACAAGTTCGAGGTTTCGATCTGGGACGAAGCTGCTTCCAATTCCGCTTTGAAGATGAAGACGACCTTCTACGAGTCCTAAATACCAGACCTCATCTCTTCGCTCGATGGATGCTGATTATCCAAAAATGGGAGCCAGTCATCGATCCCTCATTCCCTTCGGAAATCCCGTTCTGGATCAGTCTGAAAGGCCTACCACTCCAATTCTGGAATGAAAAACTGTTAGTCAACATCGGCCAAGAACTGGGAAAATTTGAATCTTTTGAAATCTCAGAAACAGATGCAAAAATCAGAGTTACAGTTAACGGCCTTGAACCCCTGACTCTGGATACCATCATTGAGTTCTCACATGGAGAGGAAGTCTTGGTCCCGCTCCACTACGAGAAGCTAGACATGTTCTGTTCTTTCTGCCACCGCCTCTCCCATGAAAGGAGACTCTGCCCTGCAAAACAGAGAGAATACAATCGTAAGACTGAGGAAGGAAATAAAACCAAAGTCACAGAAAGTATCATCAAGCCTCCAACGACAAGTAATGAAGGAAATTACAGACAAAGAGTTGACCGCCATGGGCGACCTTTTGGAGAAAGGCCCTCCCAACGCTACTCCAGTGACTACCGCACCTCCTCAACGTCGGTTCCAGTGCGTAGCACGGAAAACAGTGAGAGAAATAACGGTCCTCTCGACCGATATACAACATCTTCTTATGTAAATCAGCAGAACATGGCACCTCAACAATATCGCAAGCTTGCTCCAAGTAGCCAACAACAACCGATCTGGAGAGAAAGACAGAGAAACGAAAATCTTCATTTAGAGCAATCAGCAACATCGAGACCCCATACCGAGCCTTTGGCAAGAAACCTGGCACTGGAAGCTTTTAGCCCTCCTCTGGACCATAACCAGCTAGCGGAGAAGATTATGGATGATCTCTAAGAGGTAACCATTCGCTACATCAACTGTGGCGATCCAATTGAAAGTGCAGCAAGAGCCCAAAGAGTGATTCAGGGAGAGGAACAAGGTCTCATGGCAACTACAGCAGCAAATATGCTCCGGGAAGCCCTCCTCCATGAACCCAAACATTATCCCCCAAGCGATCAGGCTCTACCCCAGGCATGCGAACTGGTGGAATCTGTTACGGAAGAGATGACTGCGAAAACAAAGAAGAGAGGACGACCCCCAAAGAAAAGTATTCCGATTAGCCCCCTCTTGAAAGGTGCTGGATCAAGGAAGATGACAGCCCACCATATCCGTAACTCACCAAAACCGCGATCCAAAAAATCGAAAGATCCCACCATTGCTTCTTCAACTCAAGTAATCGCCCCGGTTGGACCATCCTCCCCAAGGAGCCGCATTAACCACCAGGCTGCCTCCAACGTTCCATCCTCTTCTCGCCCTATAACCTGTCCTAGGGTGGATGGCGCTCATAGTCAGACATCGGAACCCGCCCCAGCCCTCTCAGGCCCCTCACGCCCTACGACATCAAGGACACCAACACTCCCCAATGCTCCAAAGGGATCAGCGGATTTTCGGGATCCGCCAAATCCTCTTCCTTAAAAGTAATCAGCTGGAACTGCTGTGGGCTGGGGAACCCTGCAACAGTCCAGCGTTTAAAGGATATGCAGAAGCGCATATCACCTGACATCTTGTTCCTCATGGAGACAAAAAATACAGATGACTTTGTGCTGAAGAAAGTGGAAAGCTTAAACTACGAGATGCACAGTTTTGTCTCACCAGTGGTACCAAGTAGTGGGGGACTCACGCTGCTCTGGAGGAAGGAAATCACTTTAAACATCATCTCGTCCTGCCCAAATTTCATCGACTCCGAGATCACCTACAAAGGAAAGAAGTTCTTCACGAAGTTTACATATGGAGAACCTGACCAACAGAAAAGGAAAGCGGTGTGGGAAACTCTTACCGACATTGCAGACACCCGAGATGCCCCCTGGTTCTTAACGGGCGATTTCAACGACATCCTGGATAACAACGAGAAAATGGGAGGACCCAAAAGAGCTGAAGGCACGTTTGTTGACTTCAGAGCTTTCATGTCGCAGTGTGACCTGTTTGACCTACAACATTCTGGGAACTCTATGTCTTGGAGAGGAAAACGTCACACTCACCTGGTCCATTGCCGCCTAGACCGCGCCTTATCCAACACAGCATGGGCAGAAGACTTCCCATCCGGACGATGCCACTACCTCGAATTCGAAGGATCAGACCACAGACCCCTCCTAACTATTTTCGAACCTCTACAAAAGAGAAAGGGTAATCTCTTTAGGTACGATAGAAGGATGAAAGATAACGAGGAAATCAGGATTTTAATTGAAAAGGCATGGAACTTATCCCAGTTCTCTTCAGTCGAACAACGAATTGTCCAAGTTCGAAAAGCCATATCCACCTGGAATAAGGAACATCACTCAAACAGTCAGAAGAGCATCGAAGAGAATAGAAGGAAATTGGACTCAGAAATGAGCAGCAAAAACCCAAATGAAATGCTCATCCAAGAGTTAAACAGTAACCTCAAAGTGGCTTACATGAAAGAAGAGGCATACTGGAAGCAACGCAGCCGAGTCCTCTGGCTATCCCTAGGAGACAAAAACTCGGGCTATTTCCACGCCATATCCAAAGGTAGAAGAGCACGCAACAAATTCTCTGTGATTGAAAATGACAAAGGAGATCCAGTCTATGAAGAGGACGAGATAGCTGAAGTCATCTGCAGCTATTACAATAAGCTTTTCACCTCTAATGCAAACCCATACTTAGAAACGATCAAAAGTGCTCTCCACCCCTGCATCTCGGAGGACTCAAACGCTAAGCTGATAGCAAGTCCTTCCATGGCTGAAGTTAAAGCGGCTGTCTTCTCTATCCATCCAGACAAAGCCCCTGGACCCGATGGCTTCTCTGCAAGTTTTTTCTAAACCAACTGGACTTTAGTGGGTCAGAAAATCACAGAAGAAATTCAACAAATAGTCAGATCGGGCTCTTTTCCAAGATCTCTCAACTCTACTCATGTGAGGCTCATCCCGAAGACTCAAAGTCCAAAAGCACTATCGGATTATAGACCTATAGCTCTCTGCAATGTCTACTACAAAGTATTGTCCAAGATTCTTACCAAGAGGCTGCGTCCAATCCTGCCTGACATCATCTCCGAGAACCAAAGTGCTTTTGTCCCAGGCAGAGCAATCTCTGACAATGTCTTGATCTCTCATGAAGTTCTCCACTACCTGAAAACATCGGAAGCACAAGTTCATTGCTCAATGGCTATAAAAACCGACATGAGTAAAGCCTATGATAGGCTTGAATGGTATTTCATCGAAGGAGTTATGCAACAGTTGGGCTTCCACCCCAAATGGATATCCTTAGTAATGAGATGCATCACAACAGTCTCGTACTCCTACCTCATCAACGGAGCGGCTAACGACATCGTCACCCCTCACCGAGGGATCAGACAAGGGGATCCCCTATCACCCTTCATCTTCATCCTGTGTGGCGAAGTCCTGTCGGGTCTCTGCAAGAAGGCTCAAGAGAATGGAAGGGTTAGTGGAATCAAAGTGTCTCATGGCAGCCCAAGAATAAACCACCTTCTGTTCGCAGACGATACTATGTTCTTTTGCAAAACTAAGGAGAGCAGCTGCGCAGAGCTCAAGAATATTCTACAACAGTATGAAAAAGCATCAGGACAAACCATCAACACAGCAAAATCAGCTATCACCTTTTCTAAGAAGACCCCAAATGAAACCCGCACAAGAATAAAGAACCTCTTAGACATCCAGAATGAAGGGGGACAAGGAAAGTATTTGGGATTACCGGAGCTTTTTGGGAGGAGGAAAAAGGACCTGTTCACACGCATTGTGGACAATATCCGACAGAAAGCCATCAGCTGGTCTTCACGTTTCCTCTCAAATGCCGGTAAACTCACTCTCCTCAAGGCGGTGCTGTCTGCTACCCCCACCTACTCAATGTCCTGCTTCAAGCTCCCCAAAAGCCTGTAGAAGAGAATTCAAACCACCTTAACTAGATTCTGGTGGGATGCTAAACATGGAGTGAAAAAGATGACCTGGATAGCATGGAACAAACTCACATGGTCAAAACAGGAAGGAGGATTAGGAATCCGTGACATCGAAAGCTTCAATGATGCCCTCCTTGCCAAACTAAGCTGGAGGATCCTCAAAAATCCGAATTGTCTCCTATCACGAGTGCTGCTTCGGAAGTACTGTAAGAATGAAAATTTTCTAAGTGTCAAACCCTCATCTTCTTCGTCACATGGATGGCATGGAATCCTGATCGGAAGGAACCTAATTAGGCAAAAGTTAGGGATAGCCATCGGAACTGGCGAGATGACAAGTGCCTGGTATGACCCGTGGGTCTCCCTCCACGATCTTGTTGTCCCGATGGGACCTCCTATGCAAGCAACACAACAGCTCAAAGTCTCGGACCTTTTTCTGAACCAGAACAAGGACTGGGACGTGGAAAAGATTTCATCCATCTTTCCCAACCTCCTTAACACTATCTTAGAGATCAAACCGAGCAAGACTCACACAGAGGACTCCTATATATGGCTGGGAACGAAATCAGGGGACTACACATCGAAATCAGGCTACTATACGGCATACGCAGGGAAGTACACAAGTTCAGAGGAGGAGAGAATGAACCAACACTTTAACTGGCAGACCCAAAGCTGGAGCGGACGTTTCTCGCCTAAGTTGAAAACATTCTTGTGGAAAATCCTCCAAGGAGCTCTACCGACAGGTGAAAACCTTTCCAAACGTGGCCTTATCTCTTCATCACTCTGCTGTCGATGTGGTGAGTTAGAAACCACAAACCATCTATTCCTTCATTGCCCCTTCGCGAGGAAAACTTGGGATCTCGTACCTTTGAAAGAGGTCTTCGACCCTTCGAGCTTCTCGAACTTCAAAGGGGCAATTGAAGCAGGCAATCAGCTATCATGCCTCCCTCCACCAGGTATTACTTCCGGTACCATCTTTCCCTGGATCTGTTGGCAGATCTGGTGTGCCAGAAACGCCATCATCTTCAACGAGAGAAGTCTATCTGAGGAGGAAGTCGTCATAAGGCCACCATTGCATGCCGTGAATAGCAGCAAGCTCAACTGGAAATCCCAAAGTCACAGATACCTCAACAAGCCATCCAGCGACGGGAGCCCCCATCATCAGCGATCACATGCAACACTGATACAGCGTGGAACAAAGATCTCAGAGCCTCAGCTTCAGGCTGGATCTTCAAATCGCAGAGCTCTTGGATCCAGCAAGGTACCTCCCTGGAACAACACGTCTCCTCTCCGCTGGTTGGGGAAGCACTCGCCTTCAGATCAGCTTTGGAAGAAGCCCGACGACTCGACCTCCGCACCATCGTGATGAACTCGGATTGCCTGGATCTGATCAAAGCAATCGACAACAATTCCACCATCAAGGAGATCTTTGGTATCCTGATCGACATCCACCACCTACTCTCTCTGTTTGACTTCACTTGTATTAATTATGTTCCTAGGGGAAACAATGTAGAAGCTGATGGGCTAGCCAAATGGGCTCTCGCAAACTCTTCTTTCCGGATGTAATTTCCAGGCCTTGGGCCTTTTATCCTTTAATCGATATTTGATGTCCAAAAAAAAAAAAGTATATTCTATCTCTATTTTATTATTAATTGCTAACAAAATCTTTTATTTTTATGTTTTATAAACTTTCACCTATTTATTTAATTTATAACAATTCTACAACAAAATTTAATAATTTTAATGGATTTGGAAGTGGTTTTCCAGATTATTAAGTTGTTAGTTTATGTTATGTTAAGTTTTATTATTTATAATTTACTATGAATTATGTATTTTTAATTTTGTTGTTGACTATATTATTATATTTTTTAATTAATATATGTTATTGTATTTTTTATTGTGTTTATTGTAGTTTTACTTTATAATTTGATTAGTTAAGTTTATTGTTCTAAAATTAATTGGGTTAAAAAAGCATAGAAATTGTATTTGGATATAAATCAATACATAGAAAAAATTAAAGATACATTTTGTAAATAAAAAAGTTCACCTTAAAAAATGAAGAAATGAACAGTGTTCCTTCAAATATTTTGAAGGTAAAATTGAAGTACCATTGAAGAAAATTTCTTTATTTTTATTTTTAAAATGAAGAAAAAAGTGAAATTTGAAGGACCATTGGAGATATTCTAAAACCATTGTATCTAAGAAGTTATAAGGCGGAATCTGTCAGGTATTTAAATTACGCTAATTGATGCCTTACGAATGGTATGTTTGGACTATATAGTATCTACCAGTTTTTATTAATTTTAATTGAAAAACATTAAATTATACGTCAATTGTTCAACCACTTCATCAAAATGAAGGGGGCGATTTTGTCATATTGAACGGGACAAGGAATATTTAGAAAACATATACCAAATATTTCAAATATTTATATGTAGATAAATACAAAACGATTTGTGTATCCATTATTAATAATTGAGGCGTATTGGGATATTTGTCAAAATGTTACCTTCTTTCAAGATGGCAAATATGAAGCATTAGTTTTTATTTATCTCTTTACTTTGTTAAAGGGCCTAGTAGTATTTATTTTTTGGTAGCTGAAATTGGAAACTAGACAATAATTTTTTATTAATCGATAAATACTGGGTTTTTTTTGGGGGGGGGGGGAGGGGGTAATACTGTAGTGTGTTCTTACTGTTTAGATATGATATTTCCAAATTAAACGTTCTTTTGGGAGTTGCAGAAAAAAAAATTGAGTATTTCAGACAATATATTATGTGCATGCAAAAAGACACACAAGCATACGGACAATATATATGATATAGTATTATTAAAAAAACTCAGACAGTACAATACAACTTAATAAATGTTAGTATGGTTAACCTAACAAAAATGGCACCTATATTCACATTCAGTTCATCCTTTCCAACCAAACCTTACGTAGAATAGAAACAATATTCTGTTATTTCATTATGATTTTTAACTATTCAGGTTATTTTGAGCTTAAAAAAATTGAGATTTATACAAATAGAAAGAAAAATGATGAGTGTTTAGCATAAGTATGCATGTTAATGGACCAATGATGGCAACTGGCAAGAGCTACGTACGACTTATGAGATGATTTTCAATACCACTTTAATTATATTTTTATATAATTTCATAAAAGTAAATTTGACCATATTTCATAAACATAATGGTAGTTAGTAGTTATGATATAAAAGTGTCTAATCTTATATTGAGAAAACAAATCTTACCCATGATAAAATTCTCCCCCTAATTTTACTTTTAATCATAGTCATGGCTTGCCCAATTAATTCTTTGACAATGACATCCCACTAAACCCTTAAGAAAACAAACTAATTTGGTATGCCATACACTTTCCTTTCTCCTTGATAATATTCATTTTTTTTTCTTCCTCGTTGATAATATTCATTTTTCAAAAAATGGACCAAAAACGTTAGTCAAAGTCAATAACAATACAAGTATGTTTTCGGGGAAATACCAACTTAACTACACATAATCTTCAAAATATATGTAGTTACTAATGACTAAAAAATGGAGTGATACATTTAGTAAAAACTAGGACATGATTTTCATTGAGTAAAATGATGATCAATGGACTACAAAGGTACACACATATACACATATGTCTATCAATTTTGTATGATGTATGTAAGGTACACATGGATCTATTCTTATTTACATATATCTTTTGTATACAAAGTTATGTACATCTATTTTCAGGCTTCAAAACTCAAGTGAGAGTTTGTGAGGAAGTGAAGAGAAACACTAACCGTTACGAGTTACGACCCAAGCTTCAAGGGCTTAAACGCAGCCAAAACAACGGCTACTTTGCACACAAGAAACCCCAAAGTCCCCACCAAAATCTCTTTTGGTGTGACTGCAAATACAGTGGGATCTTCTCCACTGTAGCCTCTAACGGCTAAAACCGACAATCCTATGGCCAATGCGAGACTCAAAACCGGAATCTTGAGTCTTCCGCTGAGGATTTGATTGGAGTTTTCGGAAGAAGAAGATCCAGGTGCTTGTAGTTCATCGACTGATCTCTGAAGGAGCAGCAAGTAGAGAAATCCCATTGTTCCACCGAAGAAGAAAGCAATGGCAGAAGTTTCGCCTAGCGAGAAGGAGAAGACAGAACTTCCAAGAACGATGAGAACTGCATCATAGAGAAGCAAAGAGAGTTTCAAGTTTGCGTATTCTTCCATGCTTTGCTCGTTGGAAATGATTGCTCGGTTAAGACTCAGAGCTGAAGACGAAGATATTTGCTCGGAGTCGGTGATTTCAGAGACACGGATAGGTCTGAGTTCCACCATTGACAGGTCACTGCTCTCTCCAAGCAAGATTTCATCAACTTCGAAATCATATCGGTCACCGTAGGTTTCTACATTGGTCTCTCCACGAATAGGTCCTTGGCCGCGAGGATTAACCACCCACAAGCTCACTCCTCCAACTCTCCATTGACCTAAATATAAAAGATGGAAAGAAGATATATCTCTCAAATGGCTATCCAAAAGCTACTCTGTAATAAGAAAATTATGTACTAAAACAAGTCCAATGTTAAAGAAGCTAACCGGAGTCAAGACTAATCCAAAAAGCTCTGATTTTGCCGAGTTTCGGTCCTTGAAATGTGAATTCATCAACCGAGCCTCTCTGGAAATTGAAGCTTTCACCATTCACCGTGACTTCTGGATCCAAAGATTCATTGCTTGACAAATTTGCAGGTATTGTCTGTAATACCGAATCTCCCTTTTCGTCTATCAAGCATATAAGAACTCTAGCACTTATATCGCTAATCCCTGAACCGAATAAATTACTTGTCTGCAGCTTAACCTTATAAAGAGATCGAGATTCGCTCACAGTGAAAGATGGATCTCCTCTACAAACTTTCACTTCTTCCGCTGGTAGGAGACGCAAAGGTCTTGCATAACCCTGGAAATCTAAAAGCCCAAAAAATTCAAAAGTTTCAGAGGATTAAAGAGTGGAAATGGAACCAGGAGTAAGATCTTGAACATTCCACTGACTGATTTCTCGAAATCAGAAGGGCAACAAAATAGTGAATTTGACAAAGTCCGATGATCATCCAAACCCATCAATCCCAATTGAGAGGACACAATTTGTCTTCAGCAGGGAAATTGTAAGTTTCGGATTTGATCACGAGGATATAAAAAACAGAGTCGATGGATAACTATGTAATTGGCGAATTGCTCTATTACCTTGATAATCTGATGTCTTCGAGGAGATTGCACCGAAACGAGAGCGATGAATTCGACGGGAAAGATTTCTTCGACAACGAAACTGATTTAGTGGGTTCTTCGTAAAACTTGCGAAAGACAGAGGCTTTATACATATTGATTCCGTCGCCATTACCATTGCAACTCTCACAGTAGGAGAGAGACGCCGCACGGCACATCTAATGAAATGCAAACTTTCTTGGGAGGAAAAAAAAATATCTTATTTTCGCGAGGCACAGAACCTTCTCATGGATACAGAGTCTCACCTCCGCGTAACAAAATGGACATTAACCGAACCGAAATTATCGAACCAGATATAAACGAAAAATATTTTAAATCTTAACATATTTTAACTGAAGTTATGGAGGATTATAGAATATTTTTGCAAACACAAACACTTAACGCATTCTATTTATGTAAAAACATTAAACGCGTTGTTTTTGTGGAAAAACCAAGCACAAACACTAAAAGATGGAATATTGATGTTCTTTTTGTGTTTCTTTTGTAGCAAGAATTATTCTTCTAATCGGAATATCTAAAGATAAGTCCGAGTACTAAAGGAGATTATAGGCCAAAAAAGGCTCGAAACTCCCACGGTTCATAGAAAAAACTCCCAAGTATTTGTTTATAGTAAAAGCAACCACCTGGTTTTTACATAAAGAGAATGTGTTTATGTACTAAAAACCATAGCATATATATTTCGATTGGGACTTGCACTTTAAATGTTTGTGGACATCATATGTGAAGTTTCTATCCGCATGTATTGTTTGAACTCTGAAGATTATCATGTGCTATGTTGGAGAAGAAAAAAAGTAACTAAATATTTACAACATATTTGAATAGAGAAAACCAACTAATAAAAGTAAGTTTATGTTCCTGACCATGATTAAAAAATTCAACTAAACTAGCAAAACAATTTTGCTTTGTGTGTGCATTCGTAAAGATAGGATATTCACAGTAATTCAAATTATGGCTAAAACCCCTAAATGTAAATTACAAAAGTACCCACGAGTCGCGGCTTTGAGAGTAGTCCCTAACACGTCTTGTTCCTTCACCAATTTGACGACTTCGGTAATATGTAGCTCTCCATCCATTTCCCTCTACACAGCAAAACAAGTCCAAAATCAATGCCAACACAAAATCTTTGGCAAAATGAAAATCCACAATCAAATAGCAGATTAAACTATTTAATTGAGAATATAATTATACATAGGATACTATCCGTATCATAATTATGTGATTTATCATTTTATATCACTAATGATGTACTCAAGCAAAATACTATTTTAACTTTTGTCCAAATTTTGAACAATTATTTCCAACAGAAACAATTAAATTTGGCAAAGCAAATAAAGCTTTTGGAAGTTCTTAGAATAGCGGTTATGAAAAAACTGTGAAAATGTTCGTGGACATTGACCACATTGACGTCAGACCTCTCATGAGCGCCACTGATAATATTCTTAAAATTCAAAAACAGTAATACAAATCCAGATCAAACGACATAAGAAAATCTCTCATATTTACCTTGTTCAGTTCCCTTCTCTCCTGCAGCAGCGACCAAGTCATCACCTTCCAACGGATACAAAGTCTCTCTTCCACGTTGAGATACTAACTGGGCATTAACCAACCATAACAAGCAAACAAGATTTCAAATTTTCAATCTTAACCCTTAACTAGTTATTAACTTATTACTAACATATTTTAAACTTTTACAGTTCTAGTTTGTGGACCCATCTCCCTGTGTGGTGAAGTAACGCAAGTGGAGACCACCAATCTGGTCTTGTAAGAGGATTGTGACTGAGGATACGCCAGAGTGACGTCCGACTCCGACCATGAGGTCTGTCTGGTTTGGGACAAATCAGGTTATAACTGAGGAAAACATGGTTGTCGAAGCATGAAGAGTGGCTCTTTTTGTCTTGTCTACCTCTTTCACGTTTATATTTTGGCTTATAAACTGTTGAGTTTCTTGACTAGAGGTTCCGATTTGTTCATGTATTTCTAGCGTTTTGAGCCTAAAGAAAAACAAAGATATAGATTATAGAATTAATATTTTCGCAAGCTACGCAAGCACCAAACGCATACTCTTATGTAAACACCAAGTGCTAACGTTTACTATAAACAAATTGTTTTTGCTTAGCAAAGTTTTTTTCATGAACGTAGGAGTTTGGAGTCTTTTCGGCCTATAATCTCCTTTAGTACTCGATCAGACTTAACCTTCAGAGTTCAGATATTCCGAGATGTAAAGAATAATTCTTTTGTTACAAAGGAAACACAAAATGAGAACATTATTATTCCATCTTTTCCGGGTATATAAATAAAATAACCCTTGTTTTGCTTTTTGTTTCTTCAACTTCTTGTCCCGTTATCCAGCAATTTGGCGTTTCCATCCTTTCGTTACTCTGTTTTGGGAACAAACGTTTTTTGATTTACGATAAAAATAAGTAAATGAAAAAAATCAAGGATCTTTTCATCAAAACTTTGAAACGTTAATTTGGAAAGGTGTTAGAAAACCGGTCGCCATTTTGTTCAGGTTGTGAATTGCACTCTAGATGATTGTGGACATCAATGATATGCGAAGTTTCTATCAGCATATATTGGCTGATGAAGATTATCATGTGCATGCAGGCATGTTGGAGAATAAAAGACAGATCACATGCAGAAACCATCGACGACAGATCTAACGCTACAATAAACGAGATCGAGAATGATGAATCAGATCAAATCTAGTTTTTTTTTAAATCATCGACAGAACTAATCTGGGAGCCATGTTCTCGGGTTGTCAAATATGTGACCGCCTGAGAAAGATTAGGGTTAGGGTTTTTACAGAGATAAGTTGTAGCGTCTTATTGAGAACTATGGAATTATTCCAAAAAGAAGGAAAAAAAAAAATAAGTAAGGAAAAAAAAACTAACTGAGAATTAATTACATTACCTTGGGTTTGTCACGATCTAGACACTATATATGGTGTCCGCAATTTGCTCCTACTTTAGGGTTTGGATATATACAGATTTCTTGCGCTATACTCTGTGCGTTGTGATGGGTTTGGCTTACCGTTTATCGGTGACCAAACGGAAGAGAATGAAGAGAAGGAGAAAAGCGGAGACGGAGATTCCAAAGGATGTGGTGATGGGGGAGATCCTTACGAGGCTGCCCGTTACGTCACTGATGAGATTCAAGTGTGTCTCGAAGCTTTGGTCATCTCTCATCTGCTCACGATACTTCTGCAACCGTTTCCTCGCGGTCCCACTCCGACCGCGGCCTCCTCGACTTTACATGTGTTTGCACGATTGCAGTGACCCCCGTAACTCTGTAACACTATCATTGGCTCCAGACGCTGCTAGTACTAGTTGCTTTGTAGTTGACCACGATCTGACCACCCCACGGATAGGAGGCTACATCTGGCAAAACTTTCGTGGCTTCATGTGCTACACCATTTGGGATAAGCCACGGATCTATAACCCTGCCACCAGACAACTAGTCACCTTACCAGCTGCCGTCAAACTCAAATCCAACAACAGAGAAAAGAGCTTCAAAGTCGTCTCCTACTATTTTGGACATGACCCTGTCAAGGACCAGTACAAAGTGGTCTGCTCAACTGGTATCAACTACTATTACCCTAATGGTGTCAACTTGAAACGAGTGATAAGTTCAGAGCATCGGGTCTTTGCCCTAAAAGCTGGTGGAGGAGGTTCCTGGAAAAAGGCCGCTCCAACTCCAAGTAACTTTCTTCCTCACATTCCGGACGTAAGAGGAGTGTGCATCGATGGGGTTATATATTACCTTGGTTGGACTGACACGTATAAATCTGCGCTTGTGAGTTTCCACATTAGATCCGGAGACTTCAAAATGATCCAAGTTCCTCGCAGGGACGGAGATGAGCTGCCTCTAAGGGTCATTAATGTGACTCTTATAGAGTATGGTGGCAAAGCAACCATCTTTGACCAAACCAATCTTCAAGAAAAGGGTATTCTTGATTTATGGGCTGTGGCAGATGCCCGGAACGAGATATGGTCGAGGAAAACTCTTGTCCTGAAGCCTTCTCAGCTGCATTTGGTCAATAACTACACTTCATTCAATATCAGAGGTACAACTCAAAATGGCAAGGTTTTCTTGATACCTTGGTGTTTGCATTCTCCCTTTCACATTCTCTGTTATGATCTGCAAACCAATGATATGAGGAAGATCGAAATCAAAGGTGTACCTGACCACTGGTTTAGTAAGGACAAATTGACCGTTAACGTGACGTTGATGGAACAGAGGGAGAGTGTCATGTACTTGAAGACTTGAATTAATCATTTATGCATGTCTTAAGTTTAATTATTGGTTTTAGTATGAGATTTTAAAAAGTTTCTCGTGTTTCTTGTTCATAAACCACTTCCTCTCTTTCTTTGATATGAATACAATCAAGCCACTTCCGTTTACACCTATACCTCTCACAGAATTGAATTTGTGAGGCTGGTTTGAAAGGACCCAATTGGTCCAAACAAGGACAAAGCTCCTAGATTTGTATATTATATAGTAAGATAAGACAAGCCTAATAAGGATTATCTTTCTTGGTAATCGTCTGTCTGTGAGATGTTAAATTCCCGAGTAAATCCAAATCATCAGATTCTATAGGTAAAGATGTAACGCAAGGGAACCTACATTCTGTGAGTGTACTTTCTTATGATGCTCTGTGTCTGTCAAAGTCAGAAATTTTCCATTACAACTCATAACAACCACATATCTTCATACCAAGGTAATTTTGTTGCCATTTCATAATCTCCTAATCCCATAATTTCATTGTCTTTCTCCGGGAAACGTTCAAAATTGTTTTACACCGAGAGCAAGATTTTATACTAGGATGTTATGTTTTATTATGCATGCAGGCTGGTAAACTGAAAGGATGCAATGTCAAATACTTATTCACAACTCTGATGTAAGCTATGAAATTCTTCTTGTCTTTATGATCTAATAAGCTACTCGGGGTACCAATGCATCTACACAAACATGAAATTTGGGTAAAGTCAAAGAAAATGGGTGCATAATTGCAGTCGAAGCTTATGTCTAGCGTGTGCATGCGTTTAGGAGACAAACAAGGTAGATAGCGAAAATACTCAATAACCAACATGAAAAAAAAAAAAAAATGGAGAACCATATTCATAGGGAACAGGCACCAAGTGATTCAAGAATTTCCTGATCACTAATAATTGAACCCTCTTGAAAGAGAAACCAGCGTCAGGAACAAGCCAAATCCTTCTTCTTACAATAGTCAAAACACAGATCATTAACTTTTTCTTGTAGAGTCTGTAGTGCAACATGTTAGTTTGAATTTGATTGACTATATAAAACTATTTACGAACAAACAATATTTCCATAACATTATCTAACTAAACAGACATACATGCAGACCGTGGTCACAGAAAAAAGTCTCAGTTCTAGAAGTATGTCATATATATTAACCGACATACCATGCATGCAGCCAGATATGCATTGAAATGTTGCAGGAAAACTATTTGCAGCTGCGATAGAACGACAGAAACCAGACATGAGCTTCACCTGGAGCTACATTATGTTCTGGAGCAACCTGTCCAGTGGAAGTAGTCTGCCAATTTAGCATGGACAAGGAAAATAAATACTTAAACACGAGAAGAAACCCTCAACACTCCAGAATTCCCAAAATATATACGAATCTGTATTACAATAGAGTCTACATACTCAAGGATAAGACCTAGTCATGTCATCCACGAGTAGCAGAAGAAAACTTAATTACAACCATTTAACCTTGCAGGAGACATAGACCTGGTCCTAGGAATGGATTAAATAATATCACATTTAAGCTTTCCTAGAATATAAATGATTTGAGTGTCAAAGAAAAATTTATTAAAATGTTGGAAAAATAAAAGGATCACGTAACATTGAATAGTACGAACAGTCTGTTTATCAACTTGGGATCATCCAAATTTGTTTCAGAAGCTTTCTTTTTTAGAAGCTCCTCCCCTCTTTTAGCTACAGGTTCTTGACTTGAATGAATTTTAACCAAAAAATTCATACCAACTCTCAGAGACATGAAGAGTAGAAATGAATTGCAGAAGGACAGTGATAAAAAAAAAAACATTGGATATACGGATTCACCAGGAAGGTTCATGGTTCCACGAAGGTAGAAAAGTATTTCATGTCATGTGACAATAACAAAGCATGTCATCTGGCAAAAAACATAAAGCATACCTATCCACTGATGCAGCAATGTAGAATGGATATACGGATTCACCAGGCAGGTCCATGGTTCCAATGACATTCAAGATCCCCAACTGCTTAAGGAATTGATCGATTTATTAAAAAGAAAATAGTTCTTAGTGACAAATGTATAGCTTGGCAGCAAAAGAAAGAGAAAAGTTTGAAGTTTTAACAGACCTTTCTCTTCGTAAGTATGTCCCCTTTCAATGCTTGCTTTCTCATGATGCGATTAACTTGAAAAACTGAAAGCCCAGGAGGAGATCCTCCTCTGAATAAGAAGGTCGAGCTCTAATTAGATGCAGATATAACTAGTAGAACAAAAGATGGTGGAAGAACACTCGAATGGATTCCATACCCTTGAAGAACTGGTTGATACAAAAGCATATGAAGGCAAAAATCCAGAAACAATTCTTTATCCTGAGAAGCAATCAGAGATCTATACTTTACAGAGACATCATCACTGATCTGGCTTCGCATGACACTCTCCAATAACCTGAAAACAAACCAATTACAATTTCAGGATATTTAAAGGCCAATGATTGTGTGTAATGCAAATAGACATTCTAAAATGATCATCTATACTACCAATTCAGCTGGCAATAGACTTCGCCAGCGTATCAATTTTTATAAGACTCTAGGAATCACCTGATATCGTTCCCCACATAAAACCTTTAGGACTACCAATATATGCAGCACTAACCACTATAAATGCTTCAAATAGAGAGAGAAAAAAAATGCAAAAGGAAGTGTCACTATAAACAATACGAAGACAAAATAATGCAAACAGACTGATCATATCATTGTAGCAACTGAATTAAAAAAAAAAAAAACATATTGGCTTAGTCATCTAAGTAATGCATAACGATTTAGAAAAGGAAAAAAGGACGTACAAGTGGAGATAAAATAGGTATCCAATTTCACACTAAAGGAAGGACTGAGAGACCACCTTAATGACAAATCTCAAAACAATCTCCTGGTGCTGCTGAGGAAGCTTCGAAACATTCTCCAGTGTCTTAGGTGCAATATCCTCTCTTTCCTATAACAGTGAACAAGAACCAGTCCTCTAATTTGGTTAGCAATATTTACACTATTTACAAGCATATGCAAATTCCAACAACGTGATGATCAAATAACAAGATGACCGAACCTTAGCAGGAGCTCGTTCAAAAGCCATCTCAACATACACGATACAAAATTCCTAACCATAGGAGAAGCAGCAGGGTCGGTGTACAATTTCCATAAGTCCAACAACGGCAAACCAATTTCATGCTGGTGCTTCACTCTCTTGTTTACATGACTCAATATCTCAAGAACCTGTGCCAAAAAAAAAAAAAGGTACATCAACAAACATTGAGACTGGATATCACGAATTCCTATAAACATCCACCATAATTTCTATAACTTTAAAAAGTAGGATTCATCTAACATATATCCCTGCTCGTAAGATTTTGATTTTAAATCATCAAACACTAAATTCAGTAGAAGAGCAAATTGCCTTGTTGCGAACAGCGGGAGATTGGGAGGAGAGAGATGATATGGTAAGGGGAGGGAGCTTCGAGACTGGGGCTTCGAGCTTGGAGTCGATCCGATCGAGCATCCGATTTGTACATCAGTGAAGGCGACTCGCCATCCGATTTGGATTCGCCAACTCGCCATCCGATTTGGACTCGCCAACTCGCCATCCGATCGAGCATTTCCTCCAACTCGCCATCCGCTTTGGACATCAGTGAAGGCGACGAAGAAGACGATGATGAACCCTCCATATCTATTCTACAAGCTCATTTTAAGTTTCTGAATCTTTGCTTCGTTTTCAATGTGTTTGCTTCTTCCTGGGTTCTTCTCTTCTTATGCTTTTCCTCAGACTTCCCGTCTTGGCGGACAAGAGAAGTAGAGTTGTGGACAAAACGGCATCGCATAAGAAGGCTTCCCTTTAAGCATATTATTGGGCCAAAATCCCATGATATAAGCATCTTAATGGGCCCAAATCCCATAATATAGCCGGGCTCGATATCTAATCCAATAATAATGTAAACCCAATCACTTACCCGATGTGCACAATCCGTTCAATTTCCAAATCACTATTTTGCCAAAAGTCAAATTCTTGTCATTCTAAGAAAAGGTTATATTGATATTTGCTAATGTTACAACATCATCTCATCACATCTGTGTAAGACTAAATGGAAGTTCATTGTATGATGATACTCATAACTAAATAAATGTCACACTCAAAAAGTAAACTATAAATTGGGAATTATCCACAAACATTTCCCAGTTTATATTTTTCCTACTCTAACTAAATCAATGAAGTAATTTTCCTTTTTATAGGTTTTGGTGAGGAAGAAGAAAAATAACGCTCTCTGTTTCCTAATTTTGAATCTCTCAACACGAGCCCAACATAAAATACACAATGAGATTGAAATCCTTTTTTTGTTGATATGGTCATTATGTACATGTAGTAATATCAATTTCGACGCTAGATTATGTACAGAAGCTTCCATCTGAAAGTCATCTTCCCAACAAAGCGAGGATCTATCGCCACCGTGAAACAACTCAAGACTTTGTTGGTAATGCTCATATCTGCTTCTCTCATCATCAGTTATGTAACAGCAGAAAGAATGTGCTTACGAGGCTTTAGTATTCTCATCCCCATGCCATTGAAAAAGCATAGTTAACCACCAGTTTACCATCAAAGCCAAAAATCTGCAAATACCAAACCAGCACCATGTAAGCAATAGGAAGATTATTTTCAAGGGGAATAACAGAGACAGATTCTTGATTCACAAATCGGTGCAAACTAAAGAATAACAGGGAAGCTCTCGGTGTAATTTTGTTGCCATTTCATAATCTCCTAATCCCATAATTTCATTGTCTTTCTCCGGGAAACATTCAAAATAGTTTTACAGCGAGAGCAAGATCTTATACTAGGATGTTATGTTTTATTATGCATGCAGGCTGGTAAACTGAAAGGATGCAATTAATGTCAGATACTTATTCACAACTCTGATGTAAGCTATGAAATTTTTCTTCAAGTCTTTATGATCTAATAAGCTACTCGGGGTACCAATGCATCTACACAAACATGAAATTTGGGTAAGATTACTGTAAGATATCATATCATCATATAAGATTTTATTCGAATGAACTTTACTGAACCATATAGCTCCACACATACCACATTGCTTTTCTTACTCCACATATTCCACACATAACAAACGCAAATTACATTCAGGTCAGGCTCTCGACGAGATCTTCTCTTTCGAGCATCCTTCGTTGGAGGAGTTAGACCGTGTCTGTATTCAACTGTATTAGGCGCAGGATCACCAGGCTCCCTGACCATGATCATCTGTGTGCCAAGTCAAAGCATTCATATTGCAATGATTAGCTCACGCAAAAAAAAAAAAAAAAAAAAAAAGGGCACGCATTCTACTATGGGACAAAGTATCACCTCCAAGGAAACTGTTGGTTTAATCAACGGATAACTAAATACTTTAGTTCTAATCTCCAAAATGGATTCTTTTAGCAATCCATAAGCTTCATGGACATTTCTCTTTAATGCACCTGCTCCGGGCATACAACAGTATACTTAATCTGCGAAAGGTAACAACAAAGAACATCCACATGTTTCTTAGTGGAGAAGAATATCAAATTATCAATTGGCCAACATGGCAGGAAAACAAACGAATATCTCTCAGACGAGTTTCTTAAAAACTCACACTTTTCGGCAGAGCATATGGCTTAAAGAGTGGCTTTTTCCCAATGTGGCAATGACTTGGTTGATATCGTAAGCCAGTCATCTTGGTATCTGTCACAACCAACAATATAAATATGAGTACGTAACAAAAACTTTTAAGATATCCTAAGAAAAGGAAATCATGAATACTTCAGGAAATAACCCGATCACACAGGCATCTTGATCAAGACCATATTCTATTTAAAAAACTTTAACACTGACTGCTTATAGAGCAGACATCGGCATACGTACCCCACAAGTATAGAAGAACACAAAAAAAAGTGTTGGTCTGAACTGTATATGTCCTGGCTCTGAGCAGTCTTCTCTCCTTCCGCACCATCTATTGCATTCGACACTGCTTGTTTGCCAAGATAAAAGAACCATCAGAGATATTGACAAGTATTCACTCTATCAGATATCAATGAACAACCACAGTAGAAGCTCAACGAGATGATTGCCAGCGTGAGACTGAGAAATAATCAGGATTCGTGTTCTACCTTCACTCGGGGCTGACTCAGCACTACATCCCTCAGAAATAGATCCTCCATCCATAGACTGATTTCGGCCCTTGCACCAATCTATGACAGCTACTGGGTCATCGGACTGACCAAATGCAGATTTCAGAGCTGTTTTGATGTCAGATTGCAGTAGAGTAATGACAGACGAAGGAAAAAACCTGGAAAAGAAAGAAATCTCCAGAATCAGGTTTAAACCGACAGAACATATCATCCTGTACCATAAATAATCACCAGCAGTCACAAGACAAAAGGTAGAAGCAGGAGAAATATGAACAAGCTAGAAGCTTTATACGATCGCTCTGTGACCAGTTAATTTTGCATCGCATAACTAACAATTATGAACGTAAACACATTGAGTACCCTCATTTCCTGCTCACGGCCGCTTGGAACCCTGCAAAGAATGTTATGTTACTTATTGGTTATCAGAACTATGCAATCTCTACCAACGCCACAGATAACAGACATACCATTTTTGGGCCAGATTGCCTACACGTCAGAGAATCTACAGTTCTTGAAGTCATTCTCCAACCACTCCCGCTAGACGCACTACTTGTTGAGGTAATGCTGCTATTACGGCTACTGCTGCTCCTAATATAACCGTATTTTCTTCTTCCATAAAACCCATCACTCTTATTTCCAGATGCTCCAAGGAAGTTAGTATCGCTTCTGATACCTCAAATATTCTTCACTTTGAGAAAGAAAAAAAAAAAAAAGAAAACATCTCCAAAACTCATGTAGGAAAGTCCAGTTAATACTCTGGCGCCATATCAAGCAACAACTTAATATGAGATATTTCAAAGAGCTAACCTGAGAAATGATCCTAGTGAACCAAAGAGCTAACCTGAGAAATGATCCCTGACGTCAAGTTAATTGTCACCCAATTAGTCTGGAAAAAAACAAAACATTGAAGAAGGTGGTAAGTACAAACCAGATGAAGTGTATGATATATGACAGCAAACGGCTGTACTTCAACCGAACAGAACATAGTTTGCTTAATATAGGTGCATTGTTTCTTTCATACAAAAGCATGTATATGAACATATTAACTGAAAAGGATGACTCCCAAGAAGGGGTACAGAGAAAAATACCATACCCGCCCATCATTATACAGTTTGATGCCAGAAACCATCATGCTCTTGAGCCCGACCTGTTGTTCTGACTTTCCGGTTGAAACTTTACCAAGTCATACTTTTGATGCACCTGCTCCTCCAGGCTCATATCACGAGGGTCCTGATTCCAAACAAGAGAGGGTAAGAGGATTTAATGAAGCATCCATCATGAACACTAAAAACATTTTAATGACAGAATGCCAAACCTTGACAGAAAGCGGTGCTAACGAGAAGTTTTTGTGGTGCTTGAAGATCAAGCCATTTCTGCTGCCCGAGACATTCTCTCCAATCTCTCCTGATCAGCGTCCTTGGTGGTTTCACCATCAGCTTTGCTAACTACCAGAGGTAATAAAGATGGATGGTGAAGTAGATCAAGAACACTTTTACGAACTAGCTGTAGGAGAGTGTGCTTTACCTTACCAGGGTTGTAGGTCGCAACAAAAGGATTGGTCCCAAGTGCTAAGAAATGCTCACATCAAGTACACAACAAAAATTGAAACGACAACAAATTTTTTTCAAATGTATCAGGATTCAGCTCATCAGAAAGTGAAACCAAGAAACAAGTAAATGTAAGAAGCTCTCTACTGTGAATATGATTCACAAGACCGAGTAAACAAGAGAGTTGCACACAAAAGATTCGAAAGAAATTGAAATGGCAGTGAAATTTATTACAATCAGATCGATCGATCGGCCGAAACCCTAGATCGACATTTTGTGTTTTGGGGATTTTGCTATTTATTTAAAATAGAGTAGTAAAGTCTGACGTGGAAAATGAAAAAAAGGAAAATGACGTAGTAAAGTGTCGGGGAATCATGCCGCCGCGACACCACCGGCCGCGCCGTCATCGTCACCAGCGCCACCACCACCGTTGTCGCCGGGAGGTTGGTAGCGACGGAGCTTGCGACGGCGTCTGGCCTTCCGATTCTTCCTCGTCTTCTTCTGGAGCCTCTCGCGACGATGAACGCACTTCTTACCCTGGGGGCCGGCTTCTTCTAATTCCTCCTCGCCGCCTGAATCTTCTAATTCCTCCTGCTCCCGTCCTAAACAAAATCAACAACCGGCTTAGCTATTCAAATCCCAATCAGAATCCAACACAATCTCTCCTAAAACACAGACGCCTAAAGCTATTCAAATCCATAAAAAAATCATTGACAACACATATATACCTCTTTTGGTTCCTTTCTCTACAAATTCATCTCCATGAACGCCGACAATCACATTCGCTGGTGCTTTAAATCCAAAAACAAAACACTAAGAGATTTATACAAATCTGAATCAAAGGATATAAGAAATCTCTCCTACTTACCTGGTTGGGTTCCTTTCTCTGCAACGACCAAGCCATCTCCATGAGCGCCGGCGCCGCCGATCACATTCGCCGGTGCTTTAAATTCCAAAAAAAAAAAAAAAAACAGTAAGAACTAAGAATGTATACAAATCCGGATCAACACTACATAATAAAATCTCTCTTAGTACCTTGTTCATTTCCTTTCTCTACCAAGCCATCCTTGACCTCCTCCTTCACTGGCGCGTCACTGAGCAAAAAAAAAAAAACCAGAATACAGCTAGTGTAGAGAAATTTATGAGAAGAAAAGAAGGATGATGATGATTTTTTAAAAGTTACCTTGAACTCATCGTGATCTTCAAAGCAAAACAGAGAGAACAAAGCTTTTGGAATTTTGGAATGGCGAAATGAAAAAGTTCGTTGCTGCAATTCGTTGCTGCAATACTCTGCAGGAAGTTAGTATTTAATAAGGGATTCTTTTGGGATTTCTGTGGGGGGCCCACTCTTGTTACCACGCGCTTCTAACTGTTTTCGTTGGTTAGTCTAGTTTTGTATACACTAACTCTATTCTCTCTATACATAGTGAATCATATATGAGATTTTAAATTACACGCATTGTTTCAGTGAACAACCACAGTAAAGTAAAGACAGTAGAATTCTACAACATGATGATAGCCAGCGTATAAGTGTATAATTATATAGTAGTTTTCAGTTGGTGATAATGAGTCTATATATACATGGAATAAAATACTCATAAAATACTTAAGTTTCCCAAATGTATTCATTCACCATCACCAAAAAAAAAAAATGTCATTATACAAAATATTATTCACGCATAGAAACAAACAAGTCTTATAAACGATGCAACAAAAGCTGATATTTAAAACCGTCACACACTATGGTTGTAAACTCGAAACTTGGTGATCATATTTGTTTAAACTCGAAACTTGGTGATCATATTTGTTTCATAGTTAGTTTTATAGAACGTTTTAAAAAAAAAATTCTACCTAATTGAGGCTTAATTCGATCGAGAACATTAACGATGGAATCATATTACTACAAAAACTTTTTGAGAGGTAAAAGACCGTAGGAATGAATGATTGAATTACATATTCTCACTAAAGATTCTCCAGGAGTGGGTTATTAGACAATCAAACAAAAATACAGTATAATAACGTTCACATATATTAAAATCCTTTTTGTTCTGCAACAAAATAGACCCGAAAATGCAACAAAAACATTTTTTTTTCAAAACAATAAGAAGATAAATTATAATCAACGTTCCTTCTTTGTTCCTTAATCACCACCATCAATCATCATCATCCTCCACTAATCGATCTTAACCGAGGAATAGATGAGCCGTGTGAACCAGAGACAAGCATAGAACCCAATTGTTCCTGTGAGCACAAAAAATGCATACGAAGCGATGAGCATGTACCCGAAGTAAAGCATCGCCGAGACCAGTTTTGTGATCTGAAGCTTTGTGAAGAAGTAGAACGTGGCGTAGAGGAAGAGATAGAGAGCTGATGAGCCTGATGTGAGGTAAGATCTCCACCACCAAAGGTAGTCCTCACTGCAAAGCTGGAAGTAGCAGAGTACTACGGTTATCTCGGCGCAGGTAATGATGAGGATTTCAAAGACTAGGAAGAGGAACCCGAAGATGTAGTAGAACTGGTTAAGCCAAATGGATGTGAGGATGAAGAAGAGCTCGATGAAGACTGCACCAAACGGTAAGATTCCTCCAATATTGAGGATTTGAGAAAACCGGGTTCATATACCAAGCTTGCTCTGGGATTTGCCTCGGGATTTTGTTGGTTTTCACTGGGTCATCAACCGCTGGTTTCTTGGAACCGATGTAAGCACAAACAAATACAAGAGGAACCGAGATACGAAACCAGAGGAAGATCAAGGCAAACATTGTCCCAAAGGGAACCGCGCCGGATGGTACTTCTGACCCCAGATGAGAGCGTTTAGGACAAAGATTTTGGCTGAGACAACTGCAGGGAACAAGAAGGCTGTTCTGAAGGCGATTCTCTTCCACTCTGTTCCTTTGAACATTTTGTAGAGACGTGAAGAAGCGTAACTAGCAAAGAGGCCCATGAAGACCCAGAGCAGGAGCATGGCCGTCATCAGACCACCCCGGTTGGAAGGGGAGAGAAATCCAAGCATGGCAAAGATCATCGTCACAAGTACCATGCCTAAACACTGGACCCCTGTACCAACGTAGAAGCAGAGCAGATCTGAATTAGTTGGAAGTCTGAAAACATCACCATGGACAAGCTTCCATTTTGTCTCTTCTTGAGCTTCTTCTCGAGTCTCGAGCTCGTTGTATCGTGAAATGTCACGGTAAAGGGTCCTCAGCATTATCATTGCCACCATACCCGAGAGGAACAGGACGATCATCAGTGAATTGACAATTGAGAACCAGTGAATTTGGTTATCACTCATCAGAAGATAAGCATCCCATCTAGATGCCCACTTTACTTCACTCTCCTGGACAGCAACAACAGCAGCAGTAAATCAGAGATATATTGAGAACAGGAATAGGATAGCATTTAATTAAGACACAAATCACAGGGTAAGAAAATAAAAGCTTGCCTGGAAATCGACATCATATGTGAAGATGATCTCCTTCTTTTGTTCAACTTCTTGAGGAGTAGCCGAGCTCACAAGTCACAGCCAGACCTTTGGTGTGAGGATCACAGGTGTTGAGTGACTTGTGTCGTGCAACAGGCTTTTGATAAAAAGTTGAACCACCTCGAGCGACACAAGTGATCACTCAACACCTTTTAGAAGATATGTTCTCGCAACTGAAGCTACGTCTTTCGTTGATTTAGCTCTGAATTCAGATTGTGGAGATTTTTTATAATGACATTTTTTTTTTTGGTGATGGTGAATGATTACATTTGGGAAACTTAAGTATTTTATGAGTATTTTATGCCTTGTATATATAGACTCATTTTTACCAACTAAAACCTACTATGATTATACACTTATACGCTGGCTATCATCATCTTGTAGAATTCTACTGTCTTTACTGTGGTTGTTCACTTTTTTTTGCCCATTCAATTTTTATAACTTTCTTTTTTGGTAACCTAACCTCTTAAACCAAAACAATCTGTAATTTTATATTCGTAAACCTCCATTTAAATTTTGGCAATACAAACCACTGCAATGATTTTGTAGTGGTTAAATATGAACATTCATTAGAATTTTGACTACATTATTATGTTTCGACGAATACATGATGAAAACCTTCATTACACGACAGGATGTTTATAAGACTGATATTTACAAATCAAAGAGACGACAGAGCACAAAAGATGCTCATAAGTGGATACGACATAGTTTATTCTAAAATCAACCGGAAGTAGTGTGCACAATTGATCAATCTGAGCGTTAAATTAGACCTTTCGGAGTAATACCAACAGATATTCACAGTGTGTTAGCAATGGAATAAATTTTGAGGATATGATGAACTCATGAACACATAAATTGCCTAAAAGCTTTTCAATTTCATTTAGAATTTGACCATATATTCACAGATATTCACAATCCTCAGACTTTGTATCTTATCTCAAACTAATCCATCCGGAATCCATAAAATCTAAACCATCAATCTTCTAATTCTTCTGAAAAAAACAATTAATCGCGGTAAATCGAACGCATTAAACGGTCTAATCCGCGAACTTAACCGAGAGGTGGATGAATCAAACAAAGATAGATACATCGCACCAGATCGAACATCAATTAAGGATAAATCGAAGCATATAGATACGAAAAGAGGAAGGAAACGCACGAAGGGATCTGCCGGTGAATATATAGGACGAAACCGACGATGTCATTGATGATATGGAAGACGCCGGAGCCGCCGAGTGAAGAAGCGGTGGTTACGATGTCTACGTCGTACTTCTCCTCTGTAGTTCCTTCTCCTTCCGCCAAATCCATTGTGATCAAAAGCTCTGAGAAGATAAAAAACTGCGTGTTTGTGTTGCTCAAGAAATTTTGAAAAAGTGAGTAGGCGGGGGGAAAGAAGAAGAAGAAGAAGAAGACACAGATCGGTCCAGGATTTCAAATCAGTAGTAGTTCAATATTTTGATTGAGGAAAATAGATAATTCACCGATTAAAAAAAAAAAAAAAAAAAAAGAGAAAGAAAGAAAAATACAAATGACAAAACCTACCCTAGAGAGAATCAGAATAACAAATTAACCCCTAAACTTTATAAGCGGTGGCGAGAGTTGGCCGAACGGATGGCCCAATATACCTCGCTTCACTTTCTTTGCCTATATTCGGCCCATTTATCAAATTTTTTTTTTTTTTTGGGGTTACTGAAGATATCAATTATCAAGCTCAAACTCTAAAATTAAATCATATTTTATGATAGAGTAGGGTTGTTTATGTCCGTTTCAGTTTCTTGGATTCCACTGAAATTAGTTTCATTCCATCAAGGAAACATAACTAAAACTTTTAAAACATAATGTTGTGTGCAATGAATAATTTCATCATATATTTGTCGAAACATTACAAATTTTTATAATTATGTTGTGAACTCTAAACGTTATAACGAACGTGCGTGTTAAATTATCTGAAATAAGGGCTATTAGGGATCAAAATACCACTTTGTGGGGTTTCACTAAGATTAGCTTTATTCCATTAGGGAAATATAGCATAAACTGTTTACAGCTTTGCAGTGAGGATTTTTTTTAAAACGTTCTATAAGACTAACTATGAAACAAATATGATCACCAAGTTTCGAGTTTACAACCATAGTGTGACGGTTTTAAATATCAGCTTTTGTTGCATCGTTTATAAGACTTGTTTGTTTCTATGCGTGAATAATATTTTGTATAATGACATTTTTTTTTTGGTGATGGTGAATGAATACATTTGGGAAACTTAAGTATTTTATGAGTATTTTATTCCATGTATATATAGACTCATTTTCACCAACTGAAACCTACTATATAATTATACACTTATACGCTGGCTATCATCATGTTGTAGAATTCTACTGTCTTTACTTTACTGTGGTTGTTCACTGAAACAATTTTTGTGGTGCTTGAAGATCAAGCCATTTCTGCTGCCCGAGACATTCTCTCCAATCTCTCCTGATCAGCGTCCTTGGTTTCACCATCAGCTTTGCTAACTACCAGAGGTAATAAAGATGGATGGTGAAGTAGATCAAGAACACTTTTACGAACTAGCTGTAGGACAGTGTGCTTTACCTTACCAGGGTTGTAGGTCGCAACAAAAGGATTGGTCCCAAGTGCTAAGAAATGCTCACATCAAGTACACAACAAAAATTGAAACGACAACGAAATTTTTTCAAATGTATCAGGATTCAGCTCATCAGAAAGTGAAACCAAGAAACAAGTAAATGTAAGAAGCTCTCTACTGTGAATATGATTCACAA